GGCGTATGAGCGATATTTTTTTGTGTTGGCCTTTTTTTGTGTGGCTGGGTCTCTCTTGTCTGGCTTTTGTACAGTGTTTAGTTGCTGGCAACAGTTGATTGATTGATTGAACGTTTTGATAAGTGCTGTCACTGGGTTAGCTACGTTTTTTATTGACTTGTCTGTGGCTGAGTTTTTAGACCGCATCCATCCACACATCCACTTGTATTCTATCTATTGTGCAGAGCCCAAAAGACTCTAAGCTTTATCCAAACGAAATTGCAGCACAGCTAAGTTTTCTCTTGCAGGCTCGGGCAGCAGCACAAGTCAAACATAATTGACCACAAGCCAAGGCAAATGCTGGCCAAGCAGAACCCAAAGGGATTTTGTTAAAATATCAAAAACCAATCTGAACAAAGATTGCTGAATAATATGCTACCCTTCCATTGCCAAATATTAAAGGGTTCAATTTTAAGTCAAATGCCAAATACTATGTAAGATTTAGCAGAAGTAGACCTGACTTAAGATAAGTGTTAAAAATATATTTTATTGCACTTGAAGTTGAGCTTATCACGCTTTATATTGGGCAATCTTTTAATTTCAATGAAATCATCTTCTTATTATCACGTCATTATGGATTTGACTGAGTAACTATTATTATAACTTCTTCTTCTTCGCTTTCTACTCAATTATGCACTGTCGTTCAGCTCATCCACGGCCTCATCGCTATCAATATGTTTAACTATCGATCGATATACAACTATTCGCTTTAACCTCTTATTGGTCAACTAAATTATTTATTTACAAGTCAGAATTGATATAACATTAAAACGAACTTATATATTAATTCCTCAATAAATAATATGATTGATAAAAAGGAAAAGGAAAATATATAAGATATCAATAATTACAAAAACAAAATGAATTCTGAGAATTGAAAAACCTTATATCCCCCGCAGTCCGTCTATCAAAATCCTTATAGCTACACGGCTTCAGTAGGATGGGTTGCTAAGTCTGAGAAGTTGTTTCCAATACTTTAGCTAACAACTCTGTACATACTAAATTATTAAATAGGGCTTTGTATTGCTAAAGTTTTTAATAAACGTGGGCGTGCTGCAGTAGCTTAATAAGCGTTTAGCTGAGCAACTGCAATCGACAATTGAGACATAGCCCCAAGCCCTACCCCACTTGAGGCACATGCTCGAAGGCAAAGACACATGCAAAGGAAGACAGAGAGAATGAGAGTGAGGGAGTGAGCGAGTRAGCGAGTGAGTGMAAGAGAGAGAGGCACATTACTTACACTCGGACTCGCTGGCCAAGTGGTGGCAGGCAGCGTGCACTTAAGTAAACTGCACGAGTGCCTGTTCGACGTCCGCAAGATTTGTGGGACAGGGTGGCAACGCTCACAGACTGCACTCGAAACGGATTTCCTTGTTATGCCCAGAGCGAGCGAGAAAAATAGACAGAGAGAGAGAGAGAGGGAGAGAGCGAAAGGAGGAAAGGGTAGAAAGCCAACTCTTGGGCATAAACTTGTACGCAAAAGTTTCATTCATGCACTTGATAGCACCTAATGCAGTCAAGGATTGAAATTGAAGCGGGTGCTGCTGCTGCTGTGGGCGTGTCTGGAGTGGGCGGCTGTGGCCGGGCGCTGCCTGTGAAGCGGCGCAATTAGTACGCATCGATAGACACGCGCCTGCACTCGACACCAGCGAGCACAACAAAAGCGAGCAATCCAAGCCAAATGCTAATTAAGTGGCTGGACAAAAGCTTTTGCTTTAAGAAGCTGACTCCTGCTGCCTGCCACACATGCCACACTTGCCACACTTGCCGCACTTGCCAGCCTTGCCAGCCTTGCCAGTTGCCACATGCCACACATGGCGCTGAAACAGCCATATATCATAGTCAGCTCCAACTGTGCTCAAAAAACCAAGAGCATTATACGAAAGCGCACAAAAATTATGTACACGAGCGGGTCAGCTGCTGCTCGTGCGACCATTACAAATGTGAGCATTTTGCAACACTGGTCGATTTTCTGGTACTTTCAGCARCACGCATGCCGCAACTTTCGGCACAATTAATGTATGCAGAATTTGTTTAATTGACGACTCGCATGCCATAACTTATATGCCAACACACACACACACAATTGCAGACACAAAAGTCTGAGCTTTTGGCAAAAGTTGGGCAGAATTGGCCAGAGAAAGGGTATGAGGCAACGGGTAACGAGGGCTTGTTAATTGCATTGCGCTTGACATGCATGAAATGTCTTGGCGAGGTAGGCAACGCAATACCCTGTAAAGAAAGAACGTTTAATGCTTGGCCAAAAACTTCTTCGTATGTAGTAAATACTGAGATGCTTTTGGAATAGTTTAATGAAAAATAGTTGAAGATTAATACTATTTTTCATTTTAGCTCTCAATTTATTTAATAAATTTTCAAAATTCAAAATTCTTTGAATACTTTTAGTATGCTTTGATAGAAATATACGCAATTCGAGTTTCTTTTCAGAAATAAAGGAGTAGGTGTGTGTGTGTGTGTGTGTGTGTAAGAGGGAGAGAAAGAAAGGAAGCTTTTCTATATTTCATGTTAATTCTTCCAGTGAATACTGAACAATAAGAGTTATAAATGTAAAAAAAAAATAATAATAATAATTTAAATTTTATTACATACAGCTTGCAGTTTTCATACCCGACGTTCAAAATGAGTTGTATAACTATATAAATGATATATATACTACGCCAGACTTATTTTTACATTATATATTTTCATGGATCATGAAAGGCAGTAAGAATTAAAAATATTGTAAATTTGTTTACAAACTCTAAATTTCTTTTCTCTAATATATATTATATCATATATAATATATGTGTATGTATACATTTTTCTTGCTCTATATAAACATATATAAAACATATTCAATTCATTCATGAGTATTATTCTTATTATAAATTTCTCTCTCTCTATATCTTGTGTGCTGGACATATACTAGCTAATTCAATACCCATTGCCTTCAGGGCTGCAATTTGGCTTTGGCAGAAATTCAACTTTCTGGCAGCATGCACTTGGCCAGAAGGCATCGGACAGAGTCGTCGCCCNGAGAGTTGTTTAATGAAAAGAAAATTTTTGATGGCTTTTTGGTAAGGTGAAGTAAACTGACTCTTGAGCTGTGATGCCTCATATATAATATATGTGTATGTATACATTTTTCTTGCTCTATATAAACATATATAAAACATATTCAATTCATTCATGAGTATTATTCTTATTATAAATTTCTCTCTCTCTATATCTTGTGTGCTGGACATATACTAGCTAATTCAATACCCATTGCCTTCAGGGCTGCAATTTGGCTTTGGCAGAAATTCAACTTTCTGGCAGCATGCACTTGGCCAGAAGGCATCGGACAGAGTCGTCGCCCCTTTGGGCCGTCTAAGCGAATTTGCCAGTTAACGTTAAAGTTTTTGTCGCCTGTGCGTGTCGCTGCAGTGAATAATAAGGCAAGGCAGYAAAGGAGAAGCGGAATAMAGTAATATAAAAAGTAAAGGGAAAACACAAGAAGAGCAAAGTTTTTAACGGCGAAGCCATTTCATGCTCATAAGCATAACTTTGCAATTTAAGAGTTTTGGAATTTTGGGAATTCGCATGCAAAAAGCACAGCTCGAAGTGGAGCGTGAAAATGTGTGAGGGCAGCCGAGGCGAATAATTTGTTGTTAGCTCGAGCTAAGTTTTGGCTTAAAGTTCGTTTGGCTGCGGCCAACTTTGCTTTACAATCAATTATGAGTGCAGGTTGAGTGGAGAGTATTGTTAACCTGTCCGGCACACATTTAAATGCAATTTAATGCAATTTATGGCCTGTTGCCAGGCTTTATAATGCGTTAGCCAGCGCCACAGCCACAGCCAGAGTCAGAGCCACAGCCAGAGCCAGAACAACAGCCCTTATTAAAAGCGGAAACAATGCGCACTTCCGCCTCAATTGTGCAACTGCAACCTGCACATGTATGCTTGCATGTGTGTGTGTGTGCCATAGGACACGCAAATGAGCACTGGTATAATGTGCATGCATTATTATTCATGTTGTTGGCGCTGATAAAGTAAAAAAATAAAAAAGGGAAATAAAAACAGCCACACGAACAAGAAGCGCCACTACAACAACAGCACAAACTTAACAATTTATAGCGCTCTCCAGCCCCCGACTACAGCGAGCTACGCCTCTTTTTGGCTTTATGCATAGACCAAGAGGGGGAAGGGGGGGTGGGGAAGGGGAAAGGAAACCACTTGGCCGCGCTTAAATTACCAGCCATAAATAAACAGCGTTCAATTAATATGGCCAAAGAAAACTGCGTGTGTAGTTGCCTTCTGCCAGCCTTAGTGAAACGTTGCGTATACGCAGCGTATTCCATGAAAAGAAATGCGAAAGGCATTGGCTGGGGCAGACAGCCCGAAGAGTTGGCACTACTATCATAAGCAGCCACATCAGCAATAAACAGCGCAGCTTACAAGGAGAATGCGATATGAATACAAGTTCAACTTGAAATAATGCTCTCCAAAGGATCTGTTCAGCTATTCTTATCTCTATTGTTTCGCGTCGGCTTGGTAATAGTGTTCTTTAGTTGCAAACTTTTTGATTGTAATGTGTCGCAAAGCTGAGCGAAATTATGTAATATTGAATATGAAAGATTATTCATATAAATATTTGTTTTTAAGAAAATGTAATCGATTTTTGTTTAAAGAAAATCGAAGGAAAACGTTTAAGCATGTGACATGAAGCATAATTTATTAAAAATTGACAGCGACAACATGACCGAGTGATTGACATATGGACTGATGACTGACTGATTGATGATGGATCAACTCACTCATTGATTGATGGTAAAAACGAAGTCTATCATAGAAAACCGAACTGTGCACAGAAGACATTTTCTATACACGAATATCTTTACTCCCACGAACTGAAAATCTATAGGGCATTATCTATGCCAAGCAACACACATATCTACATATGTTTATACACAAATTCTTACCTCATTTACAAGCATGTGTGTGGCTTATTGTTGGGAAACTGCTTCGTCAGCTCGTAGTCAGATCTGAAATGGAAATAAGTGAAATATGACGTTAAATATTTGATCTAGAAATGAGTCCAACCTATAGTTTTATCTATATATATACACACATCTCTGCGTTTCATTTTTTGGCTTCTTATTCATTTTATTCCATTTCGAATTAACATAAAAGTCGCATTTATCAAATTGCGAGGCAAAACTTTAGAAAATAAGGAAACCAAACACAGCCAAGAAGGGGTTGCAGCAAGCCAAACGCCCTCTGTGCTAGCCACGCCCACTTGTAAGACACACGAAACTAAAGGGAAGCAGGGAAAAGAAAAAATAAACTGAAACGTTGTCAAATGTTTGCTTTTATCAAAGGGGACACTTTTAGTTGGCATTTTGTGTTGTGATTTAGATGAAATTTCGCATTTTCTTTGGTTTTTCTTATTCTCTGCGAATTCGTACGATGCGGATTTGCTCGGCCGCACTCTGAATGGGTTCAAGGGATCAAAGTGCTGTTTAAGCAGCCGTTCTAAACTCATTTGACCATTTTAATGTCGTTTTAAAGACAACAAACTGACACAAAAAGGATGTGCCTGTAAGGCACACACACACACACACACATACATACGAATACACACACGCACACAGCTGGGTAAAACTTGTCGTTTGATTTTGTGTGTTTGGGTTTTGTGGGGAGAGCCAAATATGCTGTCATCACGATTATCCTTAACGTCGTATGGCTGCCAATACCAGTTGTTTCCTCTTCCGTTATAACAGCAGCAGCACACACACACACACACACACACATGACACTGCGGATGTGTAAGAAATTTGTAAAACGAGCCACAACCCCAATATAAGAGATAGCAGCTGGAGAGAGACATACCAATAGAGCGAGAGCGAGAGAGAGAGGGAGAGAGAGGGAGAGAGAGAGAGCTAACGCTTGGCATAAGCCAAAAGCCAGTACAACAGTCAACTATAGTCTGACCTGCCACGCCTCTGGCTTCCTGCTGCCTGTCCCCGTCACTCATTGCCTGTCCCCGCCCTCAGCCCACTTCGACTTGTTCTGGCCTGATTGCCAAAATGTGCGTTCTTCTAGCAGCAAAAAAAGGAAAAAATAAAGGGGCTTTCTTCTATACCGTTACTCTACAGCTCGCCCCTTCATTTCACTTTGTTGTCTGCTAATTTTTGGTATTTTTCTGCTGCTGTTGCTATTGGTATTTTGTCAGCCTCCGCTTCCTCTTCTTCTTCATTTGCGTATTTTTATTCACTTGGCGAACTTTTGCTTTGCCGTTTCATGCATAATTCTTTTYTTTTTTTTTTTTGCTTTTTGTTTTTCTTCCTTTATTTCATTTCAGTTCACTTTTGAATTCTTTTCTTCTCATTTTTTTCTCGGTTGCAAATTGAAATTTAAAATTTATGCAAATTGTGCTGTCAACCCCAAAAGGGTTCTCATGATGGTGCAGGAAATGGTTATTGCCACACACACACACACACACACACACACACACACAGAGGGAGAGAGAGAGAGAGACACACATTACAGTCCGATTTCGAGCTTCAATTTTGCTGTCATTTAATGGTGTTGGTAATTGTGTGAGTCCGTCTGTCTGTCCGCTTGGCCGACTGTCTGCCTGACTTGGCGCACAAATTAATCGAAATTAAAGTTTCAGCTCAGCTTTGCTGTGAACATTTTTTATGGCATACTTTGTGGCGTCGCAGCGCTAACAAGCCACGCCCAGACGGCACGCATTAGCAAGGTTGAGGAGAAGCATGAGAAGGCCGAGAAGCAGGAGGAGGGGGTCAGCCTTATCTAAAATCCTGGCACGCTATTCAAGTCCACAGCTCCAGTGACCAGACGAGCCATTCAGCGGCTTAATCACAGCACAGCACGCAGCCACGCCCCTCACGCTGCAGCCCATGTGTTACGGAAGCAGAGGAGAGGTGGGGCCGTTACTTCAGCGTCGCCGCGTGCAATTAATTAAAAACAAACAAATTTCAGAAATGCACGGCAGTATCGCGCCTCAAACCCCGCGCCACCTCTCCAGGAGCTGTCGATGAACAATGAGGGGGCAGACATCGGGTACAGTGGGTACAAGCCATTCAGTGTGGACAGCATGGTCAAGCAGGACACTGACCAGAGCACAGCTCTGCAGACAGCAGGCAGGAGCAGTAGGAGCAGCAGGAGGAGCAGAAGCAGCAGGCAGTCGCCAGGCAGGCGACAGGCGACAAAAGTTGCTGCTCTAAGCGTTTTTTAATGCAGCGCAGCGCACAGATTTCAGCCTCGCTATCCTGCTCCCTCCCTCCTCCTCTGTCACTCGCCCTCTCACGCTCTTGCTCTCCAGTGTCCTGTCTCTGGTAATTTCGTTTTATTATTTTGCAGTTTTCTGTGTCGCTACTCGACGCTGTGTGCTCTACTTTGTAAATATTAAATTATGAACAAAAAAACCTGTAGAAGGAAAGGCACAAAAAAAGCCCCCAAAGGCAAGTGAGCGAGCAGCCGCAGCCAGAGGTTTTTTATACTATTATTATTATTTTTGGCTCTTTTTTCGACTTTTTATTTTTTTGGCCCACTGTCAACGGCAGCTGCAGCCAACAAAAGCAAAAGGCAGCCAAAGAAATCAGATAACTGTTATGGTTATGGACCATAATAACTGCAATCCAGGTGAGACCAAGAGACACTGAGACAGTGAGTCGGTGTCCTCTCTGCACAACTGCAGTAATCTGGGCCTCGAGCAGTGCTTAGACGACAGCCGCAGCTGCATCTGCTGCGTATACGTAACGCGCATTACGTATACGGATACGTATACGTTATGTGCGCCATTTAAACCAGCCAGAACTACAGCCTGTGCCCATTTGCTTTAACAATTACGTGACATTCGCAGCAACTAGCCATATTTCTATCTTCCTCTCTACCCTTCACTCCTCTCTCTTTGTCTCTTTCTATATAGCTCCTTCTCTATATATCTAGGTTTCTACACACACATTTGGCACACCGCGTTTCACATTCGCGCAGCATGTGCACCAAATGACCAAAGCTGAGGCGTGGTCACTTCTAGAGCGCTTTTATTATGGCCACAACCTCAACTACCTTGACAACAATATGCGTTTTATTCCCAAGAAAACAACGTGAAAGCGAAATAAGAATGAAAATCTAGCATAATCTCTTTTAAATATTAAATCCTCCAAGAAAAAAAATGTAAAAAAATAAAAACATTTAATAAGTCACGAAAGGAATATTCTTTAAGAAAACATAACTTTTCTATATGCTTAAAAAAATATTATTTGAAGCATATTAATATATATTTGCAATAAAATAATTAAAGGCGACGTTAAGAAAAGATGATTATAATATTAA